CTCATAAAACTGGTTGAGCTACTTTCTCAAAGAGTTTCTTTGTTTCTCAGTCAAGGTGCACTAGTTCTCATATCTTTATAATCTTTCTCAATAGAAAGTAAGTTCTAAACATCAATCCACTTTCCACCAATATTAACTATGCTCATCATATATCCCTATGTAAAGTAAGAAAGGATTTATAAAAAGAGAAGAATATATCTTTATATATTTTAACTTTCCTAAGTGTATAATATAACTTTCCTTAATCAAAAATGAGACTACATGTAGTGAACTTTGTAAAATAAGCATACTGATTAGGTTTTCTAAGAGGCCGGAAATATGGGCTTGGGTTCTAGTTGATATAATCAATGTGGTGCCTAAAATTCTCATGACCTTTCAAAGGATGATTGTTGTCCGTTATCAGGTTTGTCCACAATGTACTGAGACAGAAGAACACCCTTCTACTTTGTCCTTGATATGCTGAGGGGTAGTAGAACAGCCTCCAAGGCATGAACTACCTGTTATGTTCTAGCCATCTGAAATTTAATTTGTTTGGCATTTAACATACTCATGCCTCCTGTCAGAAACATAAGCATGAAAATGAAAAGTCCCAATTACATACAAAAGGGTCTCATGGTTTCGGTTTCCCACCAACCAGCGTGGCTTTGCCAGCATTCATCCTCACTGTGACCCTGTCAAGACAGTGGGAGAGCAGCTTTGCCAACACTTTTTCTCACTGTGACCCTGTCAAGACAGTGAGTGGGGGATCGCCTTCACCATTGTACTGTCTTGGGGATGGTATTACCACCCACCTGGATACCAGGGTAGCGTCCTAGCAATCACCCTTAATGCCTCCTTTCTAATCTTCCACATCCAAACAGCAGCCAAGTTAGGTTGATTTTGCTTTCTCAGTACTTGGAAATTCCCTCTCCCCATCTCCACGGCCATCCCACTTTGGTCATTGCAATGGAAGCCTACTATGTCCTCTGCCTCTAGTCTCTCTCCTCTCTAGGACATTTCCAAAAGTAAAGAGGATCATGCCACTCTCTTGCTTAAAAGTCTTCCTGGAGACTGGGGACACACCTCTGGTAGAGCACTTGCCTAATACGCGTGAGGCCCTCTGTTTGATCCCCAGTACCAAAAAAAAAAGTCACCAGCTTGTGATGCATAACTCTTGGGTTACACTCCAGATTTGCACACATGGCTCTTAACAGTCTGACCCTTGTCTTCCCAGACTCTGATCACAGGGTTTCTGCCTCACATTTACCAACATCTCAGCCCACAAAGCCCAGTACGACCGAGCCCCCTGCACACCCGTGAGCACACTGTTTCATCCTCCGTAGGCTTGCACAAGCCAGCCTGTGAAACTTCCTCTGAAGACACTGCAAAGGCCAAGCACTCCACACAAATCAACCCTTAATCACACACAGCTATTCCCTCCACTTCACAGACGGGAAGAGAGCAGATAAATAACTGGCCCACCTAAGACTGAAGCACTGGGGTTTGAACCCCATGAGGTCCAGACTCCACAGCCGTGATCACGGGGCCATGCCGCCGGGCTTCGCCTGGCTTGGCCATGTGCCTGTCCACCGGCGCTTTCTCACCCACCCTTCAACACCCATCTCGGCATCACTTTTTCCACAACACTTTCCCTGCTGCCCCGGAGCTGACCACTGTTTCCTCCTCAGCATCGTCACTGTGCCTTAATGACAACCCGTCATCACATTTGTCACCTGTATTGTGCCCACTTAAGGACTACCCTGGACTGTGGGAATTCCCCCACTTATTTCCAGAACAGCTCGCTCACTCACCTGTTCCTCACTTTTGTCCTTCGCTGTCCGTTGACCGATCTCAGCTCCCTGCCCACTTTAGCCCTTCAGTTTGACCCACAGCTACCTACGTTACCAAAGCTACCTTTGCAGCAATCTGTCCTGAACTTCACCTCCTTTGACTTAGAACACGGTAATGAACCCTCTTCTGCTGGCCCTGGGGGGGTGGCACCACTTCAGTCCTAGCTGGAGGGGGCTGATCCCCCCTACCTTGCTGTGAACAATGCACCCTTATTCGGTTTATTCTTTGGTTTCACTCAAGTCACCTCTTAGAAAAGGAGTTATTGAATGGCTAAATGTCTTAGAATCAGAAAAGCAAACATCTGGGTTTAAGAGGAGCAAAAACATTGATTACGTTGGACTGTGGTTCTTCACTCCCAGGGTTCCACCATTTACCAACTCAGCTAATACCCAAGTAACCTCGTCTTTTACCTCGAGTTAGCAGTTGGCTTATTTCGCCACCCCCTCTAGTCCCTGTAGTTCTTGCAAACCTCATGGCCTCTACTTACTTGTGGTGTCTTGGGATCTGCTTCATAATTTTGATTTGTCATCCCTTCATAGTCCTCTGTACGCAAATACTCTCCCAAAACTCTTCTGAATGGCTAATTCTCTATATGCTTCTAATTCCAGCTTCCCAAGAACAAAAGGACTGTCCCCATCTACTTCATGTCATGTCATGAGATATCCACTACTGGCCATCCTGTGGCGTGACAGTCTTTGAGTCCAGAGCTAACCTCAATTTGGTCAGCCAGGACACTAAGCACAAGGTCAAGTCATGCACAACTTGCCCACCAGCAAGAGACATTTTCCCTAAACCAAGACGCTGGTGTGGAAGGGCCCATGATTGAGGTATGGACCAATTTAGGCTAATGGTTTATCAATAGCTTTGATTGTAGATTTTTATGAGAATCAGATAAAAACTATGGATCCTTCCCTGGGGGTTGGGTGATTCTATTAATGGAAATATAACTTTAGTGTATTAAAGGATCCTAGCAGCCATCCACAGAATGCCCTCCACCGCCACCACATGGGCCTAAAGTCTATCCACAGGTCTCCTCAAAAGCGGGCACCACATCACACTCAAGTCTCTGCATCCATAGTGACCAGCTCTGCACTTAGTAGGCTCCCCAAGACATTTGTCAAAGGAATAAACTGAAAATGGAATCAATCACTTAATTACAGTTAAAGATGTTATTCAGAACCAGATGGAGGCTAAGAAGTCTGACTTTGATAGAAAGGCATTCGGGAAGCCATTCTGGTTTTTTTTTTTTTTTTCTGTTGTGTTTGTGTTTTGATCTGAAATAGGCAGTTGACCAAAGCTGCAAGATAGGAAAATGTGTTTTTAACCCACAATAGAACAGACGGGGGGTGGGTGCAAGAGGCCAGTTAGAAAACTGGGGGAAAGGGAGAATGAAAATCTAAACTAGAAGAGTGAAAGTGAGAATAGAATAATGGGGAACAGATCGGAGAGAAATATCATTAAAATTAAACTGATATTAAACGGCTCTTGATGGAATTGTGGCTATAAAAGAGATTTACAGTCTAAACCGTGGTTCTAATGTTCTCACGTAGGGAAAATGAAAGAAGGGCAACACCTTTGGCAGAGATGGAGAAGCCAGGAAAGAAACAGGTTTAAGGAAAGCAGTTTTTCTTGAATCATTGAGTGTGAAGCACAGGTGGGGCTTTTGAGTGGGTTCCTAAACAAGCAACAGAAAATGTGGGTCTGGAGTAGCTGCAAATAGAGATGAGAGTTTGGCTTTATGTGCTCAGGTACCTGGGAGAGCAGGTACCAGGAAGCACTCTACAAAATGTCTCACAGTCCATTATCTTTCACTTGCATCTATACTGTAGGGGTTTTTGTTGTTTTGCTTTTGGTTGTTTGGTTTGGGTTTGGGTCCCCCCACCCCCAGTACTGGGAATTGAACTCAGGGCCAATTTACCACTGAGCTTCATCCCCAGCTGCCCCCCAACCTTTTTTTTTTTTTTTTTTTTTTTTGACAGGGTCACTAAATTGCCACTAAATTTGAGGCTGGCCTTGAATTTGTAATCCTTTTGCCTCAGACTCCCAAATAGCTGGGATTACAGGCCTGCACCACTGTGCCTGCCTGCACTGCAGTTTTGTTTGTTTGAATTTTTTTTTTTTTTTTTGTTGTTGTTTGGACAAACACCTTTTTTTTTTTTTTTTTTTTAATGTGGTGCTGACGATTGCACCCAGTGCCTCTCAAATGCTAGGCAAGCGTTCTACCAGGCTTACTCTGCAGTTTTGAAGCCCTCTCAAAGCCATCATTTTATTCCACAGTGGAAACAATCATATGAAGTTGACCCATTGCCGATAAGGAGATGGAAGCTCAGATGGTGAAGAGTCTCGTCAAAAATAGGGCACTGAAGTAGGCTGGGGTTGTGGCTCAGCAGTAGAGCGCTCACCTAGCACATGCGAGGCCCTGGGTTCGACCCTCAGCACCACATAAAAATAAATAAAATAAAGGTATTGTGTCCAACTACAACTAAAAAATAAATATTAAAAAGTGTATTGCACCAAACTGACAGACCCAGAATCAGAACCCCAAGCTTCTCATTCTTAATATAACTTCCAACTCTCCTGGATCTGCACAGATAAATGCCTTAGGAGCCAGGGTCAACTTTTTAATTGCAGTAGTTCAGTTTTTTTTTGTTTGTTTGACTGTTGTCAGTTTACGGTTTGATAGAATGATGGCAATACCCCCTTGGCGATCCACCTGGCAGTAACTCACACTGTTCATTAAGGGTCTTCAGTGTGGACGAACAGATAGCCCTGGCTCCTGGGGAACCCTGACCTACCCTGTCTTAACACTCTGGTTTCCCTGTATCTGGGGATGGAACCCAGGGCCTCGTCCTGCTGGAAAGCGCTCTACCCTGAGCTGCACCCTAGTTCTCCCCGGTTTTAGAGGGACTTTTCTGCCTGTGGAACCTGAACGTGCAGAGTGGCTCGTCCGTGGAAGAGACCAGACTGGGGCAGACTTCCCGAGGGTCGGGACCTTCAGGGTTCACAGGCCGGGGGAGAGGGGGGTTGCCCAAGTCTCGGGAGGACGGGGGTGTGGGTTTAAGGCGGAGCTGCGGACGGCAGGCCGAGACTCGCGGAGGCTCTGGGCGGCGCTGGGCAGGGCAGGGCTGGGCAGGGCAGGGCTGGGCAGGGCGTGGCCGGCCAGGGGACCCGCCAGCCCGGCAGCCCGCAGTCCGACGCCGCCCCGCTCCGCTGCAGCTCGTCTTCCTCCTGAGTGAAGGGAAGGCTCCCTGAGCTCCGTGCGGACGTGGCCGAAACTGACCCGGGACAGTAAGTGACGTGGGAGGCGATCAGGGAGAAGGAGCCCTAAAATCACGTCTGTAGGGACGGCCTGCGGGGACGCCCGGTGCTTTTGTTTTCCCAGTGAGGGAAGTTTGGGCGGGGAGGGGACCGCGCCAGGCCCACCGCTGCCCGAGCCCCGCGGCAGGGGAGCGGCCACCAGGGCTCCCGGCCGCAGGGGGCGGCCACTCGGGCTCCCGGCCGCCTCGGCTCCGGGCCCGGAGAGGACCGAAGGCCGAGATCTCACTTTCTGTACCTGTGGCCTCCCGCCTCCGCCGCCACTGGCCTCCCAGATGACCAGGACAGCCCGGAGAAAGGCCAAAGAAGGGGCGGCTGGCATGGGGAGGCGGCCCGGGGCACCCCTGCGGACCAAAAAGGGAACGTTTTGAAACTCGGCCGCCCGAGTCCTCGGGGAAAACCCGAGTTTCCGTGAGCAGCGCAAAAGGCCAGACCCAGAGGGACCGAGACCCAGTCCTGTCGCCGCCGGGGACCGCAGCCAGGAGGGAGGAGCCCAGCGCGGCCAGTTCCTTTCACTCCCTGGCCTCCTTTCACCCCCTGGCCTCCTTTCACCCCCTGGCCTCCCTCCTTTCACCCCTGGTCTCGGGCGCCCTCTGCGTCGCGGTTCTGCCCAGCCCCTTCCATTCTCCAGGCCCAGCCTTTCGCCTTCCCATCAACCCAACTCCAAGGTCTACTCCCCTTCCTTGTCCCTCTTTTGGGAGGGAAGTTAGCAAACTTCCGCCCGGGGGGGGGGGCTGCTGCCCACGGGTCGGATTGTGCATTTCCACGCAGTGGAACATAGTCAAAAGAACCACAATGCCAGGGCGGTGGGGGGCGCCTGTGGTCCCCGAGGTGAGACCCTCAGCAATTTAGGGAGAACCTGCTGCAGAATAAAGCAGGGAGAGCTGGGGCTGAAGCTCGTGGTAAAGCTCTCCTGGGTTCAGTGCCCAGTAACAAAAAGAAAAGGAGCACGTGGAGTTTATATGAGAATCAGACTTAAGCGTCCATAGATGAAGTTGTATAGGAAGAGCCACGCCCTTTGGTTTAGGTTCTGTCTGCAGTTGTTACCCGGCTGCAACGGCAGAGTGACAGAGACCATATGGCCAAAAAGGTCTGAAGTATCTACCAACTGGCCCTTTACAGAAAGAGAGAGAGAGAGAGAGAGAGAGAGAGAGATCCCCAACCCCTCCTGTTTGCCCTTTTCCCTCTTCTCCTTTCCATGCAAAAGGGGAATCACATGTTGTGACAAAGCGGGATGACTGTCTTGAGGGAGGTAGATGAGAGGGTGAATCTCTGAGGGGGTGGAGGAAGGGTTTGGGTTAAGAACCAGAATTGTAATAATTGAGTCTTTTTTTTTCTGTGTTACTTCTTTTCTACATAATTTTTTGATCTTGATACTTTACTTTTGCTTTCCTCACATGTTAAGTGCTTAGCGAGTGTGTATTTTTCAAATTCCTTCACAGTATCTGTTCGTCATATTGTTTCCTCCCCGCTATCACAGTCCCCACCAAGTAAAACTGCAGGCTCAGGGACACATTCAGAGCACTGATTCTCCTCTCCTTAGCCACTGACCCCCTTGGGCAAAGCTTTCCCATCTCTGGGCCTCCTCAGGAACTGTCTCCAAGCCCCCTTGAGCTCTGTAAACTGCACAGTTCCACTTCTGAAATTTGATAAATGGGCTTCGCTTGCTTTGGAGAATTACCTCTGGAGCAGGAAGTGCAAAGAGGTCTTCATTTTCTTCTGTAGCTGATGGGAACCATTTTCAAGAGAGAAAAAAAAATAGTTGAGATTACCATCAACACTAATTAATGTTCAGGAGGAAAAAAAATGTAAAACAGACAGTCACTTTTAAACTGGAAAATCAAAGCAATCTGAATTCTGCAAGGAAAGGAACAGGAGAAGCCCCTGTAGGTATACATAAGGCGTGATCCTCAACCAAGAACCTCTTCCCTCTCTCCGGCCCCCCCCCCCCCGCCCTTTTTGTGTCATCTGATATACTAGTGAGATTTTAGTTCTGATAAGAAAAGTGTGTTGTGCAAACACATCTGTTTCTAGGCTGTGGTATTTTGTATTTCCTCCAAACCATAACTTTTCTTGAAAAAACAAAACAAGTAAAGCGGAGGGGCTTCTCCAACATTGTGCTGTTGGAAAAGGATCTACCTCTAGAAGGTTCAGGGACTCTAAATGCACCGAGATGCAATGAACAGCAGCCTCTCAGCTGGACTGGTCCAGTGCCTAGGGAGACAGAGAACAGCCACTGTGGAACTTAGCCCGTGTTAATTACAGGACCTGAAAGTCTCCAGCTCTGGGTTCCAGGAAGTCCATCCTAAGGACAAACTACAGGCTAAAGGCTAGGTGGCAACCATCACCATCCAAACGCAAATATTGCTAAAGCCGAAAGATAAAGCCTCAGAGGAAGGGTGTGGCCCTGCAGTTCCGGAAAAGCCTGCAGTTTCTGCCCCTGTCCACCAGGGACAGCACAACAGCTGTACGCTCCAGGGCCCAGGGCCCTGGGCCCTGCTGGAATGAGCCTACTCAGGCTGAAAGAATTTCCTGTGAGGAAAGTAGAGTCCAGCACAAGATTTTAACCTCCTACCCTTCCTGGTGCAACCACAGCCTTGGCTCAGCTCTGTAATGAGAAGTCCTGCCCGCCAAGCCTGTGGGAATTAGAGGCACACTGGAAGGGAAAGGAGCAAAGACCAAGGTCTGCAGATAGGGACCTGGAGGCCCTGATTTTAGGGGTGGCTCTGCCAAGCTTATTCCCTCACAGGTAAAATTAATGATGGCTCTCAAATATGAAATTCACTTTTGAACATCTAGAATGTTCTTATCTCCCACCCCATACACAATTACAGCTATGCTCTTAGTTTTGTTTTGTTTTTTCAAGAAAATCTGTGAATCCCAGGGATTTGGTATTACTTTTTCTTTAGTACTGGGGGTTGAACTCGGGGGCACTCGACCCCTGAGCCACATCCCCAGCCCTATTTTGTGTTTTATTTAGAGACAGGGTCTCACTGAGTTGCTTAGTGCCTCACTTTTGCTGAGGCTGGCTTTGAACTTGAAATGCTTGGTGTCCTTGTGGATTTGTGGACATATAGCTATACATCTGTTTACTCACATTTTCTAAAAATATCAGTAAGCCCTCATCTACGCAGTCTCCTACTTCCAGACATACCTCAGTGCTCCATATGTACCCTCACTACCTTCTCATGTGAAATAAACACATGAGAAGGAATGAGAAAATGGGCCCTTGGGCCCCTGAAAAATGACCTGGTATTTTAGGAAGCTGCTCTGACCCAAAATGAGGATTCTCCAGTGTGTTCTCCAGTGTCCAACCCTTGACAATTTGCCTGTGTCTGAGCCCTTCTTTTTTTTTTCTCCAAAGGCAAACATGCCCCACCCCACAGAGACTGAGCGGTGCATCGAGTCCCTGATTGCCGTTTTCCAGAAGTATGCTGGGAAGGATGGGAACAGCAGCACCATCTCCAAGGGGGAGTTCCTGAGCTTCATGCACTCAGAACTGGCTGCCTTTACAAAGGTACTGGTCCTGATCCCCATCCGTCTGCCCACAACAGGAAATAAGACCCGAGGACCAGCAGCTGGCTCCCCCACATTTGTACCCCCTTCTCACTCACTCCAATCTGGGTGGTCCACGGAACCGCCCATACTGAGTCCCTGGGCCTGGGCGAGCTCTGCACAGCTGCTAAAGAGCCTTTTCTTTGAAGTGAGATGTGCTTTAGGAATCCAAATGTACACACTGCATGAGCAGGGAATGGTGATTTGTTTTTTGAAATCACTTCATGTTTAATGGGTTACTTATTGGAGTTGCACGCAACACTTGAAAGAAATGTTCCACTGGATTTACAAACTCTGGTAACCCCGAGAGTCACAGAAAGAACCCTGGACCAGGAATGGGAAAGCCTGCTTCCAGCCCAGATCTGCCCTGAACCATGTCCCTTCACCTCTTTGTGTCTGTGTCTGCATGTGGAAAATGGGAATATTAATAACCCCTTTCCTGTTCCTGATACCCCAGTGAGAATAAACGTGGTGGCATACTTGAAAGTGCCTCAGGAAATGCAATATTAAGATATTGTTGTCTTTCTAGAACCAGAAGGATCCTGGTGTCCTTGACCGCATGATGAAGAAGCTAGACCTCAACAGTGATGGACAACTAGATTTCCAAGAATTCCTCAACCTCATTGGTGGCTTAGCCGTGGCTTGCCATGACTCCTTCATGAAATCTGCCCAACCCCAGAAGCGTATGTGAGGGCCCCATGAGCCTGACCTCAAAACCTCCCTCTTCCCTCAAGTCGCCCAGTCATTCCAGCCCCCACCCACCCTGAGCCCACCACCTCCACCACACTGGGGAACCCACTCCTGCTCGTGATAATAAAACAACCTTTTTTTTTTTTAAAACACACACTTGAGAGTCCATAAATTTGTGCAAGAGAGGGTGGAGTGTGGGGAGAATGTATGTTAGATAAACGGAAGCCGTTACCAGGAGCAGACCTCGTTCAGTCAAAGACGCTTCTGAGGAATATGCATAATCATGACTAATGACACAAGCAGCATCGTCCCCCAATTACTCAGACTACCGGGGAGATGTCATCTGTTGTCATCATTTACTCATATCTTTCCACCCCTGCCACAGCACTGTCATGGACCCTAAGGACACGTTCTGCAAGACAGGGGAGTTCCTGCCGTCCAGGAGCTTACTTTCCTGAGGGGGGAGAGAATAAGGAGTGAATAACACACCAACCAACACAGGGCCCTGGGAGGGGAGGACTACGTCGTGGCACAGTGTGTGGCAGGGGCTAGGGAGGACCATTCTGAGGAGAGCTGAAGGACAGCAGAGCAAACACGGAGAGGAGCGAGAGAGCACTGTAGGTCCCTCTGAACACAGGGGTCCTCGGGTGAGGAGGGCTGGGACCTGAGGAATAGGACCAAGGCCAGTCTCCCCAGGTCTTCATGCCTGGCTGTGGGTTCCTTGTTTGTTGGAGTTAGTGCCCACGCGAGTTTGAGTTTCTAAACCCTCTGCAAAGGCAGCAGGGAGCAAGCCCAGAAAGAAGGTGAGAAGGCTGGCCCAGGGCTCAGGTAAGAGTCTGGGGAGGGGAGAGGGGAAGTGGGGATTGAGGGAGAGAGAGAGAGAAGCCCTTGCCAGATGGAGACCGGATCTATGAGTAGGACCAGTCAGAACCTCGAGCATCCGCCTGTATCAGATCTTCTAGAACAAAAGCATAATCAATGTAAATGTCTCCAGATTCAAAGGCCCGTCAGATGTGCTCACAATTGACTTATGGCTAGTCTGCCTGACCCCCGATATCAAATGACTGACATGGGACTTGATTAAAAAAAGAAAACCTTGCCTGGGAACTTGCACATTTCCCAGGAAAATCTCATATACAGTCAGAGAGCTCAACCCAGGGTGAGTCACTCCTCTTCTCTAAGAGGCAGCGGGTGTCTGCACCCTGCCTTTGGGCGTGTGCACCCTCGCTCTGCTGCCCTTTAGTAAATCTTTGCTGGCGCCTTGCTTTCAGCACATCCTGAAACTCTTTTCAGCAGAACCCACTTGGCTGAGAGTCCCACTGCTGCCTTGGAGGGACATCCTCAGACCCCTGTCTAGTAACAGGATCATCCCTAAGAAGCACTGGGGAGAAGCAGTGTGCTTCCAGAGAGCCTCTGATTCTTTATCCGTCTGTGAGTTTTAACCTATTAGGGGAAAACACCTCTCTGGATCATGGTTAATTCCTGTGTCCGTAGAAGGGGTCACACCACTTCTGAGGTGGTTTGGGGCGCTAATATTCTAAAATGAAGGCTAGTGTCTCAGACTAGCTGGTCCCAAATTTTTCAGGTAGAATTGTGACTAGCTTTCAGATATCGGAGTTCCTTAATTTGTTGGCAGCACAGTGGGAGGATCTGTAGTCACTAAGTCTTCATATTCCCTTGAGGGGTAGACCCTGTCTGGAAAGAAGTGTCATCCCGAAGAACACTGTGGCAGGAAGAGATGGGAAAACGTCAGGCAGCTAAGGTCATACTCGTCTATTTGCTCTTCTACCAAGAAATCACTGGCCCCGGCCTGAAGATCGGAATCAAGGGAACTAACCAGGAAATCTTTGCTTGCTTGGTGCTCTCAGATTGTGACAAGTAAGATCCACTGGCACCAAGCTTATGACTCAAGAGTCAAAGAGCAACCCCTATGGAGTGCCTCCTATGAACAACATGAGCTATAGAGAGACACCAGGGGGAGGAGGTGACAAGCTCAGTGGGAGTGCATTGCATTGGAGGTGCCACTGGGAGGGCCATTGTGTTGGAGGTGCCACTGGGAGGGCCATTGTGTTGGAGGTGCCATTGGGAGGCCCAGTGTGTTGGAGGTGCCATTGGGAGGCCCACCGTGTTGGAGGTACCATTGGAGGTCCACTGTGTTGGAGGTGCCATTGGAGGTCCACTGTGTTGGAGGTCCACTGTGTTGGAGGTGCCATTGGGAGGCCCACTGTGTTGGAGGTACCATTGGGAGGCCCACTGTGTTGGAGGTGCACTGTGTTGGAGGTGCCATTGGGAGGCCC